CAAAAAACAGAGGTGTCAATGTCCGTTACCAGGATTTGTTATTACATTAGCAAGAGGTCAATTCAAACAGAACTGCTATTACCAAAGGAGCTCCAGGTTTGTAATGTGCTCTGGAAGTTTTACTTAGTAGACTTGCAAAAACTACATTGCAGATTTGTACTGGATTAAAATCACAGGAATCTTGTCAGTAATCACTCAAATTACAGCACCTTCCTATGTAAAACTAATCCAGTTCTATGTTTTATCTATATAAACAACAAAAAATGAAAAAAAAATACATTTGTATTAGATATTCTTTTTGCACTATGTTTATGGTGAACATTGAATCAATGCATGTAAGTTGAAAAACACTTACTAGCAGTTTTCTGTCTTTTATAAATGACATTGAATAAAAAAGACAGTTTCTAGGTGGTGATTTACTACCTTTTATCCATTTTTACAGAAAAGAGTATGTCATACAGTGTCAGAAACTCATAAACAAGTCTATTTGAAATGATCTAACTCAATATCCTTTGAGGTATGTGTGTGACTTAGGCATGCTTAGACATCTTCTCTTACCTGCTTGCTACATTAGCCTCTCAGCTCTAATACAAAATTAAAGGATCAGGTATATCTTGGCTGAATGACTACACTGGGTTGTGCTGTGTACACACTGCTGTATGGTCCTGTTCATTTAGCACTTTTTAACTGAAAGGGCTAATTCCTCTTCCTGAAACCAATTAGCAAGCTACCTACTGACTGAGTTTCGAAACGGACTCTGTGAATCTGCTGAACAATCTAAAAATATACACGATGTACACTGTGTCTCCTAGACACTGAAACCTGCTCGCCGCATTCATGCAGTTTGGCATCTGTGTCAGTGGATGATGAGAAAAACTGGCCTTGCTAGCTTAGCAAGCGTAATTCTGATTTTTCTTATGAGAAAACTGGGATTCACATGTAGAACGTGTAAAAGTTTCGTAGTGCTGGACTGGAAAGACAGTCTTTTATCTTAAAGCTGCACTAATGTTGAAAACATTGGCCAGTTCTGTACAGCTAGCATGTCTCCAGTGATTAGCATAGACTAGCATAGTTTTCTGCTCCTACAGCGCTAATCCCTGTCACTTAAAGCCATCACTTACAGAAACATTATTGTTTCGTGGGAAGTTAAAAAATAAAGCTGAAATTGCAGAAAGCATATGGCTTGTAATTTGAAGTAGAGAATTAGCCGCTAACACGCTTGCTTGTCTGAAGCGATTAGCAACAATATCTCATTCTCCTCTAGAGCAGAACAAAAGCCAGTGTACCGATAAAGAAACACTGAATATGGATGATGATGAGGATGTGAGTGGTGCTGAATTAAAACATGAAAAGTCTCTTTGCTGCTAAAAGACTGCAGTCCAATCAGCAGCTATTTGCTAACTCCTCTGCATAAAGGGCTTGTGACACATGCACGCACACACAGGGCAACGTCTAATAGGTCCTGCTTCCTGTAGCATAACGTTCTAACTGTTCCTAACACATATCTCAATGACTAAATAAAACATTAGGGGATTAATTAAGCAGAAAACAGCAGGTCTTGATAGCTCTAATGACAAAATAACAAGAGGGGCACAGCTCCTCCACCACATCTCAACATCTACACACACATACAGTACAGTGTAAAAGCCACAGGCCACTTTTCATTTAGTTGATTACTTAGATTACTTGACTATGGATTTAACTGAATTTTCACAGAAGCCATTGTAAGAAGAATGTAGGGATGTTTTTCCACACCCTTAAAGTTCACTCTTAAGCCACTTTTTAAGATTAAGTGACCCTTATTAGTCCCACAACGGGGAAATTTCACCTCTGCATTTAACCCATCCATGAAGTGAAACACCACATACACACTAGTGAGAACACACACTTGGGGGCAGTGAGCACACTTGCCTGGGGTGGTGGGCAGCCCTATCCGCAGCGCCTAGGGAGCAGTTGGGGGTTAGGTGCCTTGCTCAAGGACACCTCAGTCACGTGCTGTCGGCTCTGGGGATCGAATCGGTGACCTTCCGGTTACAGGGCCCGTTCCCTAACCTCCAGCCCATGACTGCCCCAGCCACTGCATGGTACTGCTTGACTCGACTCATCTTAACTTAACTCACTTTTGGTGCCAGCTTCTTCGTTTTCCACTGCAGATATAGAACCCCCTCATAGCAGCTGGTCGTTAAAGCGATGCTGGATTAAACTGCCGAGATATGAAGGAGACACATTTTGTTCAGAAGAGGCTGATGATAGCAAGACAAAACACTGCCAGAAAAAACAGGAGAGTTAGTGAAATACTACATCACAGACGACAAAACGATTCTAGTTGCTCAAAACGGGTGATTCAGGAGGCTACGCTAACCTGGTAGCTAACTTTAGCCTATGTGTTTAGGAGCTCCCTCCGACCAATCAGTAGTCTGTAGCATTTTTACATCACCTTTGGTGTCGGCTCAGCTTCACCACCTCAAAGAAGGTGGTACCAAAAATAGCACCTGGTACCAGGTACCCGATTTGCCTAGCGTCGAGTTGAGCTGCAAAGTGTGCAAAGTGGCTAAAGAAGTTGCATTTTTTCTCCTCACTATCCAAATAATCCCGAACACGTTCAGTGATGTTGAGGTCTGGACTCTGTGGTGGTCAGTCTATTGTTTTGAGAACACCAGCAGCTTCTATGTTTGATTCTTTGATTGTCCCCTTTTCTCAGTAAGATCTTCTTGTCAGCTACACATCCTTTCAGACTCATAGTGCTGAGTTGTCTTGTCACAGTGCAAGGATGGACAGCAACACCTGTGGATATTTTCAGATCTGAATCAAGAGTGGAGCTTGATTTTCTCCTCTCTCTCAAAGATGAAAGCTCTACATACTGTTTATCTGATGGGGACAGTTTTGGTGGTCTACCAGGTCCTGCAGATGGTTGTTCGGAGTCCCATTTTCTGTATTTTTTTTATAATTAACTCCAGTTTTGAGAATTGCTGGTTATTTTAATTATTTTCTTTGACTTTCTCTTTCCTTATGCAGGTGGATTATCTTATGTCTAATGTCCTCAAAATACCTCCTGAAAAATGAATGAAAAAATGTCTGATTTCACTTGATAAATATTCTACTAGGGCCTGACTGATATGTTGGTTTGGTGATAATATCAGCCAATATCAATTATCCTTATGTTTATCAGTATCTGCAAAAACATCACTAAGTATTAGCTAAATTTTATTGGCATCACCAGGATACAAACTTGCAATCGTGTAGGCAGTTATGTCAACATAGGCACTCTCTGTTTAACTGTATCATAACAACACAGACTAAACAGATGAATTTGAAACACCATCAAGGTTAAATTAATAATAAAAATTTAATAATAATAAAAAAATTTAAAAACCCAAACCTAACATTTAGCATGAGAATAACATGTAACACAAACTTTTCTTTTTTTAAGAAGAGAGATATTAAAATTAAGAAAAGTAAGAGGTAGCTAACAGAAAACAAAACCACAGAATTCTGGGTAGCTCCATTCTCAGTTCTACATTATTTATATTATTTAAGACTGTTTCTGCTGTTTATCTAAGAAGTGTGGTAATTTTTAAACATAATTTTAAACAATTATATTTTACCTAATATATACAGTGTAATGTCAGTTAATGGGGTGGAATGTATATCTGGAGGTGAGCATTCAGCTGCACCATTTTGGAACAGTACAACTGATTATAATTAATAATAATAGTGGTCTTTAATGTATGCACTCATTAATTGACCAAAATAAAGTTGTCAGGCTATTTCCAAATGTAAAAATGAAAAAAAAAAAAAGATCTCAGTGTATAGCTTTCATTGTATTATATTCCTAGTATTCAGTTTAACTTCTATGTCAGCAGGCATTCAGATGTATCATACCAAAAGAATTGAATCAAATTTCGATATTTGACATTTCATGTTGCATTAAATTGTTCATTAAACGTCAATCATCAAATTGAATTGTTGTGAGGTCAGAGACGTACAAGCCCACAAATGAACCTAAAAAGCAGTTATTAAACACACAGCTCAGGCTGGGGGGATCAGGCATTGTTTTCTACAATAATAAAGAATAATAGAAGTCTGGTGAGATGGGTAATATTAACCATATGCTCCTATCACCGTTTCTCCACAGTCTGCTCTCCACATTATCCGCAGTGTGCATGTTCACACAGATGTTTGGCATAATTTGGCTAAATTGCTCTGATGTGTGATTATAACAGTGAAATAGGGAGAGAGAGAGAGAAGTGTTTGTATTCTGATGAGTCTGTTTGCCTGGTGGGTGAATATAATGAGAGGATTGTGTGTTTATATTGGTGAATTAATCATGCAACTTTAGGATGGTAGTGTGTGTGTGTGTTTGTAATAAAACATAATATACTGTATATTAATATTTTATGTTATGCAAATATGTTATATGTACAGAATATAATAGAATAGAATTTTAATATAATAATAATAGAATTATAGTATAACATCAAGTCTTAACTCCAGCTGAGCCCAACAAAACTTTGTCCAAACCCAACCTGACCTGAATCACATCGTCAAGCTTTGAGTCTGAGACTGACCCGAGCTCACGAAAATTCTGTTCAGTACTGACCCAAACCAGGTCATCACCCAAAGTACTAAAGATGCCATTTAAATTACCACCACCAAAGTCACCATAATAGCTATCGTTAGCTCATGGTTAATAAAAGTAATAAAATGATATAATCAAAGAATCAGCTGTCGAAAAATGTACTCGAAATTCCACTGTGACAAGCGTATTCATCAAACAGTGCTGGATGAACTGTCTGTGATGCACTGTTCTCACCCTGTGAGGTGCTGATATAGTAAGATTGTTGCCTTCACCTCTTTAAAACCTGTTTAAAAATGGAAGAGTAGGAAATCTGATCACAGTCCATCACATATTTGGAAATGACGCTGAAGCTAACATGAGGAGTCAAATCCCATCGGGTTTGGACAAATATTCAGGCTCTTTTTGTGTTGGTATTTTTCAGGTTTGGTGATGGTTATACAGTGATAGTGCGAGTGCAGGACGGTCCGGCTGATTTGAGCTCAGTGGAGGACTTTGTGTGCCGCACGTTCCCCGGCAGCATCCTGAAGGAGAAGCATCACAACACGCTGCAGTACCAGATCCCCCACACAGAGGGCGCGCTCTCACACATCTTCAGTGAGTTCAGCAAACACCAGCATGCGCTGGGAGTGGAGGACTATTCTGTCTCTCAGACTACACTGGACCAGGTAACACACACACACACACACACATGCACAGAACAAATTACACACAACTTTCACCCAAGTAAGAACTACAAGAACAACTTTTATTTTTTAATAATATTCTTTTTAGTAAGTTTAGGGTTGGTGTCCCAGACAGGGATTAAAGAAGATTTCCAACGATTTTTCAAAATTTCACCATAATTCAGTGATGGAGTTGTAAACAAAGTCATTCACAGGGGTCAGACTTACAGATTTCTTTACCATGAATAGATCTTTCAAAGGCTGAAAAGAGCTTTTGGAGGTGGACATCTGGTTCCTGTCACCACCACTGTGAACAGTTCTGACTCTACAAGATTCTCCACAATGGAGCATTGCACGACAACTACTTTGAATGGCTTTGTTTACAGGTTGAGGCCACCACACACCGGACACATCGCACCACACAGAAGAGCGCTGCTCTAGAATACTGAGAAGAAAAGCTGATGAATGTCAACTTGAAATAGAATAAAACTTTCAACATCGTTTATCATGCTTGGCATCAGTTTGCTAACTTTTTATAAACTCGCTGTTTTGGAGCTACAAGATAAAAGTGAAAAAAAGACTAAAATAGTCACATTAGCTGAGTTAACAGACTGTCAGCATTTCTGTATTTATCTTACAAACTGACCGCCTTTCTCTGTGTAAATTTGTGATCTGCTGTGGCTTTCTGGTGTCTTGATATAGCTTCAATTTAATGTGGTAATGGTAAAATGCTAAGTGGGCTCTGTGACATGCTGAGAAATTGAAGTGTTGGCAGCGGTGCGCATAACCTTCACTCAGAACAGTGCAGTGCCTGTACTGATGTACTTGCAGAAATTTTGAAAGAATGGTGGAGTTCCCCTTTAAGACTGTAGGTTAATGGCAGGGTAGTTTAGCACTTTAGTGTTATAGATGTAAAGCTGATCGTTTCTGATGTGGCAACAACACAAATCAAGCACAGATGAAGCCTGAGATTTTGCTTTGTTTACTTTGGCGTGGTGCGTGTGTCCTGCAGCGAGCTCTGAAAGGTCAGTTGTCCTCTCATCTTCGGAGGGAAAAAGAGACTGCAGAGATAACAATAAGAAAAGAAAAATAGAAAGACACACAATTACACAGATGAACACCATCACTAGTGCTAGTGGTGATTTTCAGAACTGAAGAACTGAATTTTAGAAAGAGCAGGAATAATGGGCTGTGTGACTGTGTGTATGTGGGTGGGGGGTTGTTGGTGGGGGGGTTAATTGCAGTCTTCTTGTCCTTCTGCAGGCTGTTCTGCCTCACTGCTCATCCAATAAACACCACAAAATCCACACTCTCATTAATCTGACTGTCTCTCAGACAGACACCCGCCCTTACACACACATGCATGAGTGATACAACCAAACATAGAGGTGATCTTCAGAATTCCAGGAACGAGAGGCATATCTGATTTCGGTCTCTCTCTCTCTCTCTCTCTCTCTCTCTCTCTCTCTCTCTCTCTCTCAGGTGTTTGTGAATTTTGCCCGGCAGCAGCACGATGCCGAGGACGGCGTGTACGAGAATCCGGTGGACCTGAGCGATGAGATTCCAATGCAGAGATGCTGATAACATACACACTCATACACACACAAGACAGCTTAGATATGCACTTAGTTAATAACCTTAAAGCCTTTTCTTTTATCGTTAAACGAGTACTGTTTTAGATCTCAAGAGATCTCAGGAATTCGAGGAAGAATAAGTTCTTGTTATAATCACGATCATGATTTCAGCAGATTATTTTTCTACACTTCATATTTTTATAATTCAATTCAATGTAATGTTATTTGCAAAGCGCTTTTTACAACAGGTTCTATTCAAACTTTTACGTGATTAGGTTAAACAGTTTAAACTTACCTGTGATTAGTTGCTGCAGGTAGAATATGATCTTTAGTCACATATCACCTAGCATGAAAGGACTGCCAAAGCCATAAGCCATAATATTTCTATATGGACCAGTTCACACATCAAAGGGTCAGACTCTTCACAGTTTAAAGGGCATCGTGCTATTACACAGTCATTTTCCTGATGAGATTCCACTCCAGTTTCCTCCAAAATGACTTTTTAACTCCAGACATCACTCCAAACGTCCCTGTGACTGAACACGAAACCTCACTAACCGTACGCACTGTTAGGGGTGGGCAGTATGATATGATATTGTTATTGTGATAAATTGCATCACAATACGCTGTTCTTAGTGGATCATGGGTATTATCAGTACTTCTAGACCGACAAAAACATGTATGCATCATTTAGGCCAATTATAGACCAAATCAGAATGTTTGCAAACTGGTTATACTTCCGGGGGGATAACTCGCATCCAGTCAGTCGATTTATGGCACAATCAACAATATTGAAGCATAACAGTTTAAACATTGACAATACTGGTAACATTATGTTGAGTTTGAGGCTGTAATGTCAAAAATACCCACATATGTAATGGATTTTATTAACCCAGTGTTAATCCCAGTGAGGGACCGTCTGTCTTTGCTAACACTCTATAGCTAATACAGCTGAAGCTAATACAACTAAATCTAATACAGCTAAAGCTAACGACAATTAGCGAATTCTTTACTCTTCCAGATGAGCATGAAGTTGCCCAGCACTATTACACAACCAATAAGTGTGACTGCTGGTTTTAGAATTATTACTCTGTAGTTTAACACATGCTAGTTTAGCAGTAAATAGAAATCTGTGTGAGTGTGTGTGTAGAGTAGTGTGCAGCAGCTTTAGCATTTCATTTCATGCATTAAGATAGTTAACTGGCTAGTAAGGTAGCTGGCTAATTAGCTTTCTCGAGCAGGTGGAAAATGAACTAAAACTATAGGCGTAAGTTCAGTTGGTTCCCGTTTGGGTCAGTTCTTATTTTTAGATGTGCAGCAAGAAAAAAACCCCTCAAAAAGTGAATATTTCTTTATTAAACTCTGCTCTTACATGTGTGGCTGCTGCATGCTGATGGTTATACAAAAAAAATAACTACACAAAGTCGTAAAGTTATTGACCTTAGAAGATATGTTTAAAAAGAAGCTGTCTATCTTGGTTAAGTCTTAGGATTAGGGCAAAACCCTGGAGTGCCAGTGCAGAACTACCTGCGTTATCCTCCCAGAAGTAGATTTTTTGCCGCTGTGACGAAATGCTGATTTGTCCTATAGAGAGCCTGTAAACATTAATAATCAGTGTATAGTAACTGCATGAACTGCATAGTAACAAGTAGCTGATTGGATATCAACCCATTATGACATCATCTCATTGGTTTATTTATGTTTTTCTTTTGTTTCTTTGTAAATGGTGCATTTTTTGAAAAAATGACTGAGGTGATAGTTTTATTTAAATGTGTCACTATTATTTTTCCTGTTGCAACTTACAATCCACAAAGAAAGGAAATATTAAGATGCATATTTTATATAGCAAAAATGCCTTCAAGTACCATGATGATATATTTTTGCCATATCCACAACCCGAAGACCCTTTCCTACTGTGTACCACTTGACACTATTTAAATACTTACTTAAATACTAAATGATCATAGATTTAAATTATGTTTTGGATATAACCTTTTTTATACTCGTTATTTCCTAGAAAGTAATCTACAGGGTTTGGTCAAATACTTGTAAACTGCTTTCTGGATGTTTGGCTGGATATCCGGCTTTGACTCCGATTGTACACTGTCTGTCAAAATATTGCAGATACCTTACCTCCTTATCTTATTAATGTTTGATTTTCACGGTCGCTTTTCAGTTAAATAAGAAAAAAGACCTACAAAGGTTTTGTTAATATAAAGTATCTATTTGCTTTTTTTTAAAATTTTGAATTACTTCTTTCTTCTAAGCTACTGTGAGCACAAATCGAAACTTTCATCACAATGCATCACATCACACACTGTGACATTATGATGTCACAATGCTATGGCATCATTGTTTAACAGTACCTTCAGTTTTGCATATTTTGCAAAGTCAATCATCAAGATCTGAACGGCTATTTAATATGTTCAGCTGCGAGATGATAAAGAAATCATCGTCGCTTTTATTAAAATTAGCTTGAAAAGGTGTCCCCAAACTTTTGACATTCAGTAGACTTCCTGTTTTAGCTTCAGTATAGCTCAGGGAATTGCACTAAACTGTCATCATTCTGCATCACGCATGTACTGTAATATTCTGTACTGTATGTAATGATGTTTGCTGGAAGGCTAGGGCGATGACTTATTCATGCGCTGCCCACAAATGCATTTCTGTCTTTACAGCTTTACAGAACATCACTGAAAATCTCCTTCAAGTTAATGCTAAACTGTAGCGCACATTTGTGAAAATGTCTAAATTTGGAGCTTTATCATAACCTTCTATTGCACAATGTTGCCTCAGGGCAACAAACCCATTTTCCTCACTTTACAATAACATAAAACATGTTTAATCACAGTGAAAGGGTTTCTAGTGAGGGTAAGAGTTTGAATAAATCATTAAAAGAATGTGTTTTGTCATACTATCCTTTAATGAACCATGTGGCTTGTGGATGACGTTTAAACATTTTTCCCCTCAGGAAAACAAATTTTCATCCAAAATATGATATGACCTGAGTTCATTGTTTAACAAAATATTTAACAATAAATCATTTTTATGTTATGAGAAACTGCTGAAACAGTTTTGTTGCCCAGAAGCAACATTGTGCAACAGTGGAATGGATTTAGCCAATTACAAAGTCACTAACGCAGCCATGACTCTAAACTCTGTCAAACTACAATCATTCTATTGAATGAATAGGAAATTCTCCAAAGCTTGTCCAACCAGGCAACAGTTGCTAGGAAACCGTGCATTTGTGGGTATAGCATGGATATGCCAATTATGAGAAGTAACATGCACATAGCACTTTTAAACACACACACATACTCGCACACACCAATCCACTCCACTACGGTTTACTTTTCATTTAAATGTGCTGCCTCTTTCCGTGCCTTGCTGTCGTGTCCTCGTTGAAGCCTGATGTGTGTTTGTCCTACAGATTGCTCTGTGCAGAAACACATGATTAAACATTTGCACGCACACTGTCTGCGCCGCGGGGAGTTTCATTTCGGAAATCTCACCTTTTATTTGCTCTAAGAGTCGCAGAGGGAGACAGCATGGCACTTCTCTTTCCCTTCTGCCTTTTTTTTTTTACTTCTCTCTCTTTCTCTTGTGTCTTCTTATCAGTTTCTTTCCCTCATTTTTCAGCTTTTTTTCTCTCCTCTCTCTCCTGTCCTCTATCTATCTTCCTCCCTCTCCTCATTTCACCTTGAAGGATGGAGCTCTTAGCTGAAGATATTTCTCTTTTCCTGTTTTTGTGGTTGAGGTTTTTTCTTTTCTTTTTTCGATGCCTGATAGCTTCGTTTTCTGGACTTTTCACTTTGTAGAGTCAAGTCGTGTTTTAGATATGAATGCCGGTGGTGTGGAGTTCTCTCAGCAGGAATGGATCGACTGCTGCTCTGCCCCATTGCCCTGTTCTGACCTGTGTTCTGCTACGCCTCCGTCCACTTAGGAAGTCACCAACAGCTCTGCAAAAACTACAACTCTTGGTAATAGGACTACAGGGAGGCAGAGTTCAGTCTTTTACTTTATGCTTTAGACTTGGGCCCAAATGATGTGAATATACTGACACTTATAACCAATTATAGCTATTATTTGGGTATTGGATCATTCTCAACATGTTCATATTCATGCTTTGCCATGCCTTTATGATGACCAGTGCAGCGGAAATCTGTCTTAAAGGTTTAGATCTGCAGAGCTTGATGTTTTTCCTTCTCCAACACACCTGATTCAGCGTATGAAGGATGTGATGATTGGCGGATGAGTTGAGTCAGGGGTTTTGAAGCTCTAAGCCCGGCATTACTGTGGCCCTGCAGGAATAAAGTCTGACCTGTGTGATTTAGCAGAGTAAGGAGCTCTAGAGCACCTTAAAGAGCCCATGTTCTACCTTTTTTCTTGTATTTGGTTTATTTTTTCCTGAATTCCACTTTCCACTGTTTGCATGACTTTATGCACCAAAAACATTAATTTTTTCATGATCATTTTCCAACCTTCCTAATCTCTTTGAATTAAACAGTTTTTGTTACTGTGCATTTAAGACTGAGATATTCTGATTGGCTGCCCTAGTTCAAAAAGCAGTCCAGGTTCAGATGTACTTCATTGTAAACGAGTGGTGTCAAAACAGGATGTTTTGCTGCTTTGCATAAATGGTCTGTATGGTAACACTTTATTATGACGTCATAAGTACAGAATGTACAGATGTTAACATTTCCATTAAACAGTGATCCATTTAATGATCACTGAATGGGTAATGCCATACATGTGACAGTTTAATGGGCATTAAAGCTGCACTATGTAAGATTTGAAGATTTGGAGACCTCTCTGGTGGAAATGTGTAATTGCATCTTCTTTGTGAGGTTGTGCATGTGATGTTACAAATGATGTTTCCTGAAAAATCCAACTTAACATCTCTGACTTTTAAATACTTATTTCAGGTTTTACAGGGTGACATGCAGCAGAGCACATTCACTATATTTTAGAATGTTTTTTCTTCTCCTGACTGAGTAATGCTACTTCAGTTCTCACAAACAGGCTTACATAGTGCTGCATTAATGTCTAGATAGCTAAATCGTTCTTAGTGGTTAAAATTTCTTTATAGTATTAAGTGTGGGATCAGTTTGGAGCAGCTTTCTAAACAAAGGTCCAAGCTATTTTTTTTTTAATATTAGAAAACCACACGGGCAAACCAAACAACAAAACTATTTTATTAATTTAAAATTAGTCTACTTAAAAGCTGAAGGGATACGTAAAGCAAATAATTTAGGTTGAAGAGGTTAAACTGACAATAGGCTGGGAAACACAGAATCTAAAGTATGAAGACTTCTGTTTTTTCATACTGTGTATTATACATTGAAGTTAAAGCTGCACTGTGCAGAAGAACATTTCTCAACATGGGTTGTAAGTATCATAGTTTCAAAGTATGAAACTGTATCTAAAGCATGAAACTTCACTGCTGTCTGAAAGTACACTTTTCCGATAAACCACCAACAGCTCTTCACCAGCGTGTTTGTGTGTGTGTGTTAGGGGTGGGCGGTACACCAGTATAAAAGTAAACACCGGTATGACGTTGTCTCACAATATGAACTTTGCTGTACTATGGATACCGTGATAAACCCAAACACAAAGAACCACAAACAGCCCCGTCTCTGAGATAATGAGCATCTTCAATAACTGTGTTTTAGACAAAACTGTGCTGGTGGACCAGGAAACAGGCATGACGAAGAAGAACGAATCAGCTGGTAAAACCCATCCAAACGTAATGTGATAAATTGACCAAGCCTGGAACTCTGAGCTTTCTTTGTTAGATACAGCAAACACTGAACTCTTAGACACCAAGTACATAGTACAAAAGTGGAATTGAGGATGAATGAAGAGGTAAAAACAAACATGGGGAGAGGCTGCAGCAGAGAAAACTGCTTCCATACTGAAGAAGCTACTAGAGTATGTGGTAATATTCACACAATGAAGAATACTTCAGTTGCTGCTATTTCTTCAATAATAATAATAATAATTATAATGATGATGACAACAGTAGCAACAATAATAATACTAGTATTAACCATAATAATTATTTTTTGCAGTGTTTTTGTTATTATTATTACTGATACTGTTATACAGTTCATATCACCCACCCCTAGTGTGTGTGTGTGTGTGTGTGTGTGTGTGTGTGTCTAAAGGAATGATGTTCGTGTGAATAATTGAACATTTGAGTCACCTTCCCCATCACCCCATGTTCAGGCATTGAAAAAAGAAATGACTTCCTCTAAATTTATTTCTCTCTCTCCCTCTCATTCTCTCTATATCTCTCTCTTTCTCCCTCTAATTCTTTCTCCCTCTCATTCTCTTTCTCTCTCTTCCTCTCATTCTCTTTCTTCCTTATATTCTATTTTTCTTCCTTCCTCTTTCTCTCCATCTCTCACTCTTTCTCTCTAATTCTTTCTCTCTCTCATTCTATCTTTCTCTCTCTCCCTCTCATTCTCATTCTTTCTCTCATTCTATTTCTCTCCCTCTCATTCTCTCTTCTCCCTCTCGTTCTCTCTATCTCTTTCTCCCACTCATTCTCTCTATGCCTGCCTCTCTCTCTTTCTCCCTTATTCTCTCTACCTCTCTTTCTCCCTCTCGTTTTCTCTTTCCTTTTCTCTCATTCTCTCTCCCATCTCCATCTCTCGCTCTGATTCTCTTTATCTCTTTGCCCTCTCCCTTTATCCTGCTCTCTCTTTCTCTGCTCCCTCCATCATCCTCTGCTTTCACTTTCTTCACTCTCTGGATCATTTTCTTCTCTCTCTCTCTGCTCCCACAGTCATTCTCTTTTCTCCCTTTCTTGCATTATCCTTTCTTTCTCTCGCATTTTCTCTCTCCTTCTGTCTCTCTCTCTCTCTCCTTGTCTGTCTCTCTCACTCTCTGTGTGTGTCTCTCTCTCTCTCTCTCTCTTTCTCGCTTCTTACATCTTTAATCTAGAGATCAGGCTTGGGCTCCATTTCCACATGTGATAATTCAGAGAAATTTGCAGTGCATAAATCAGTGCAGGAAACCAAATCAGCTCATTTATCACATCCGTTATTAAACAGCTGTGTGAAAATGGAAATCTTAGCGGAATATGTAGCTTGTCAGAGGCTCTGATGGTGGCCAGCACCAGCAGCAACCGTCACCTCCAAATTCATCACATTATGGCAATAATGGCACATTAGTTCATATTGCTAAACATTATGTGTAATAAATGCTCAAGAGTTTAGCTGTCCTTTACCCAAATGACTTTGTGTTTATATAACTCAGACTTAATACTAAAATAGGATCATTATTGGTGGAAATGGTTGTTTTGGTGGAAGAATTTGGTCCAATCTGTATTAACCATACCTGAGATGTCTACACATACCAAAAGACACACATGCACACACTAAGTTAGCCACTGAATGCTAAACCGAGCTTTAAATATCTAGTTCCATTAAAGTTTCTTGAGTTAATGTAACCAAATCACTGTAAATAGTTACATTAACCCCTTAAATGGCTAAAGTTTTATTACACACTTCTATAATCCAAGAATGGCTCAGCCAGTTTGCATTGAAGTCCCTGTAGTTGCTGAATAATAAGCCTAAGTATGTAATAAGTCTGGGATTTTAAGGAGTTAGTTACTTTAATAAACGTAGTAGAATAACTGTAACTAGTTACACTGATGTCAGCTGAGTAAATGTAATCATGGGCCTGTAACTAGTTACATTGATGTTAGTTGAATAATTGTAACAGAACAACTGTAACTAGTCACACTGGTGTTACTTAAGTAAATGTAACCATGGAGCTGTAAATAGTTACCTTGATGTTACTTGAGTAATTGTAACAGAGCAACTGTAACTAATTACATTGGTGTTACTTAAGTAAATGTAACCATGGACCACAGTCTACACCTCTGTCCATTATACTGGACACGTCTTAGCACTTTTCTTAATTGTTTTTTTCTGCTTTATGCTAATTGTTTGAATCCAGTCATGTAATTAAGTACTAGCATTGTATTAGAATCATTTTAAACATATATATGCAACCAAGCTGGTTATATATTTTCAAAAACAGAGATACAAAGAAGTTTAATTCATGATTCCAGACTTTTTAACAGTACTGTATTTCTGGCTTTAGTACAAGCCTGTAGTAAAGAAAAAAACAGCTCCACAGTCATAAATGAAAAAGCTATTGATCATGTTGGCATAATTTAGTGATGAAATTACAGTCTGCGGACAAGAAATGCCTTCCTGAAGCAAACTTTAATCTGTTTATCATTGTTTGGACACCCGCAGGTTTGGACAGCTGCAAACATTACTTTTAAATGTGCTTTAAAATCTCTCATATGTTCCAAAATGTAACATCTCCTCTCCTCTCCGCTCAGCACTCCTAGCTCATTTGTCTTTTCTCACTTTCAGGGCGTTCGACTTTTGCCGTGGGTGACCCCAGAGAGAGAGAGAGAGAGAGTGAGAGAGAGAGGGAGAGGGAGAGGTAGGAGTGCTGTAGAAATAATGAGTCTCTGCTCTCCTCCTGCTGTCTAATGGGCTTCAGCTAAAGAAAGCCATAAGCCTGCCAGCAGGAGAGAGAGAAAGAGAAAGAGAGAGATGGAGGGAGTGCGAGCGAGGGATGAGTGAAGTGAGGGATGGACAGAGGGAGGTGTGGTGCTGGACTCCAGTGGAGATGCAGTCTGTAGTCTGAGTTAATCTGACTCCGTACTGACCTTCATGCTCTCTCTCTCTCACACACACACATACACACACACACAAACACACCCAGGTTTGTTTTTGAACAATGTCAGAACACAGAATCATACATATCTGCCATAATATATGAAGGGAAATTCCACTGATTTTTCAAAATTTCTGAATAATTAAATTGTTGAGATGTAAACTAAGTCATTGTGAGTGGCTTCATGTGGAAGACTCACATTAAATGCTCATGATGTTTATATCTCAGTGATTGCATTATGAAGAAATTTTGAAATTCTTCTTCTCATCTTATAGCTCCAGTGCAAAGCTAAAGAATCAAACTCTAAACACCAAACATGTCCTGTAAGTTTCTCTCTTTTTGTGGACGTTAAACAGACATTACTGCATTACTTTAGTCTTTATTCAGGAAAACGTTTGAGGGAAAAATGATTAGTCCCTTTTGAGAATTTAAATATTGCATACAGAAATGATCATTTAAAGATTTGCTACAAATGTCAAAACACTATATATAACTTTGCAAAAATTATTTTGAAGCCTGACTGAAAGATTTCTTTCAGAGGTCTGGTTAGCATTTTTTAAGCTGTGTTTTTCGTTTTTATATCTTATATTTTCCAGTCAAGCTTTGCTGGATGTTTTATATGTAACACTCAATTTTAGCATCATACAAATATTTATCATATTTACTCTGTGTTTCCTGGAGCTTTAAGCAATCTTAGATGAAAGAATAAAAAATAAAGGCTTGATTATGTGCTTTCTGATACAGTATGACTTTTATCTATACAAATGGACAAAGAACATTACATAGCTAAAACAGCAGCAGCCATCTTTAAGTCCAAATTTTGTCTGTCGTTTTGGCAAAGAGGAGTAAAATGTTATCTGCAAGAGGGAAAAGCCAGTCTTTAGACTGTTCTGGCTTACATTTGAGATCGTTTCGAGTTTATTACGTTCAGTTGCAGCGCTGCGGTTTTGTTTTATTTTACATTTATCAGGCAGTGTGTGTGTGCGCATGTGAATGACGAGCGAGCACTAAATGTCGTGTGTTTTATGTATCTGTAAAATGCTAATGTGGCCTTTGGCTTGGGCGGAGCAGAGTTTGGCTTTATCGGTTTGTGTGTGTGCGAGAGAAAGCTTTTTGGCAACATAGGGACTCTTATCAATTGGCTGGATTTAGGGGCTCAAGCAAAAGGGCACTCTCGGCCTCATTCTGCGCTCCCGAGACACACACACGTTTGTTTTTATGCAGTGTCAGGACATGGGCACTCATTTACCACATAGGTTTTATATGTATATAAGTGAGTTATAATAAAATGTCGCGTATCATTTGCTATCCAAAGAAATCCATCTCCAAAACGAAGAGAGCAAAAACATAATTTATTTTCAGCGTAAGTGAAATGTAAAAAGGTTTTATTCCAGGCAGATTTAGAGCATTTGCTTCAGGTGAATCATGACAAAATGTTTACGCAGTGTAAAGGACAGCGGCACTGCTGATGTAGGAGAGCTGATGTTTGGACTCTTTGTATTTGTCCGTGCGTCAGGAAATTTTAATGTAAAGCAAAGGGCGACTGGACTTTTCAATGTAATTCACAAATGAAACATCACAAAAATAAGATACAAATTTTTGCAACAATTTTGTATAAACATACACACACAGCCTCATTTTTTTCTGAAAATGTACAAAAACAATTACAGACACACACACACACACACACAATGAGGTCTTGGACCAGGCTTGGCATGGTCAGTGCTGCCAGAGAGAGTAGTAAAGGGCAGCCAGGTACTTAGGGGAGAGGAGCATGAAGCCTGACCCCATGTGACCCAGCCAGACGCAGCTTAACTAGCCAAAGTCACCAAAGTCACCAAGCACCGGAGTCAGAGTCCAAACAGCCTACAGAGCAGCCAGAGTCATACAGCCATAATCCCTCTCACAGCATCATCAGAACTGAGAGCAGAGCAGAGGAGCAAAAGAATAAAGGGAAGGAAAGTGCAGGAGAAAAGAGCTGAGGAGGAAAGGAATATAGAAGAAAATTAAAGAAGATAGGAGAAGAGAGGGAAGGGAAGAAGAGGAAAAAAGAGAAAAAAGAAGTGGACAGGTAAAAAGAGAACAGAAAGAAATGGGGGAGAGGAGAAGAGAGAAAAATAAAGCATAAGAGAAAACGAGAGGTGAGGAGAGGAAAAAGATGAGGATAGGAAAGAGGAAGAAGAGAAGCGAAGAGGAAAGAAGAAAGGAAAAAAGAAAAATAGGAACACGCTGATCTTGAGAGGAATTGCCTTTGTTGTTTCTCAGTATGAAGGAAGATAAATGCTGTATCAGAAATAATTCGAATGCCTGTGTGTGTACACGTGTGTGTGTGTTGGTGGAGTCATTCGATCAGAGAAAGGATGAACAAAACAACAAAAACATCCTTGACTGAGGAGAGCAAACAAACACTCATATCATGCATTAATATACGTAAGCAATAGTAATGCTACCAATACATATAGCACAGTAATACTATATGTGTATGTGACCTCTGTGACATTTTGTGATTTGTTTTGCTTTGAACTTTACTCACTGGCGCCATTGCACTGGCCTTTGACTAGGCCACAAGCTGGGACACTACTGTCTAAGGTAGCAGAGTTTGACTAGGCCACAATCTGGTGACAATGGAGTTTGGCTTGGCTGCAAGTCAAGGACTTTTTCACGGTGAGAGTAGAGTTGATTGGGCCATGACCTGGGGACTTTGGGCCATGACAGCGGAGTTTGAATGGGCTGCGAGCCAGGACTTCACACCATGACAGCGGAGTTTGAATGGGCTGCGAGCCAGGACTTCACACCATGACAGCGGAGTTTGAATAGACCATAAGCTGTAGGCTTCCCCATATCACAGCGGAGCTTGAATGGGCCGTGAACCAGCAACTTCACACCGTAACGGTGGAGTTTGATTGAGCTGCAAGCCAGGGACTTCACACTGCAATGGCAGAGTTTAAATAGGCCTTGAACCGGTGACTTCACACCATGACAGCGGAGTTTGACTGAGCTGCGAGCTGGTTACAATGTGTAAGTCTGAGGGAGTGCCTAGAAGTTGCGCCACCCCACCCCTCCTTCCCACTTAAGGCCCCCAAAAGGCTAGAGCTGGCCCTGGAAAGAAGAGCCCAGACTCAAAATCATGACAAACTATGGTAACCACAACACATACGCAACACATACAAAACTGCTTACCACATGAACCACAACATCGACAGACATGCTAAACATAAAACTCTGAACATTATAAGCTCACACATATACGTGCACCTAAGTGGGAGCTTACTATGACAATAAAGCAGTTTCTTTTACTCTGTTGTAAAATCACATACAAGCACACTTTTAATCCAGTCTGGCACAAAAAATATGATTGTGCTTGCAATATTTTCTAACTATTATATTTTTTATTTGGAAGTGTAATCGAGGTCAAAGTGGTAAACTCCGCATTTAAATAAGCAAAGCTCATAATTTCATACTCTCTCATTCTCTCGGGATGAATACTGAAAATGACTCCAGCCCTTTTTTCTTTCTGAAACAAATCAACAGGTATCGTTTTTTCTCACTGACAGACTTCAACCTTCCTTTTCTCCGCACTGAATCAATATTAATCACCGGCTCCGTCCTGGAGCGGGCCGATAGTTTTTTAATAGCAGATGCTGGAGCTGAAGTGAGCGGCGTTTTAATATTACTCTACTGAGAGAAGAGTTGCACTGCCATTAGACTCTCACTGGCTTTCCTCCAGTCTAAAAGAGCCGCTGCCATGGCCAAGTAACGGTGAGTCATTTAGAGCTTTTAGTCCAGACAGAATGAACTCTCATTTAGCCCAGAGTTCATATGAGAGAGATAGAGAGAGAGTCTGTGTGTGTGTGTGTGTGTTTTTGTTTGTTTTTGTACATTTTCAGAACAAAACTGTCCCAACAGAAAACTAGAGAAAAACAGGAACTAAACTATGGGACCAACAAAATTATTCTGATTTTGTAAATCACTTTTAAGAAAAGCTCCATGTTTCACACAAAAATCATTTCTATTTGTTTCCTGAGGTTATGGTTAGTATTAGAATTAGAAAATATATAGGGCATATTATAAAAACAAACATATATATGATAATGATAAAAATAAGTTTAATTTATATAGCACCTTCCAGCTCATGGCCCAGTCAGACCCCACTGTCACAGTGCAAAGTCCTCAGCTTGCAACCTAGTCAGACTCCACTGTCACAGTGCAAATCTCTCAGTGTAGTCAGACTTTGTTGTTGTTGTGCAAAATTCCCAGCTCATGGCCCAGTCAGACCCCACTGTCATGGGCCAAAGTTCTCAGCTCATGGCCCAGTTAGGCTTAGCCTTCACGGTGCAAAGTTCTGACTCCGTTGTTGAGGTGCTAAGTTACTTGCTTGTGGCCCGGTCAGATTTTTCTATCGTGGTGAAAAGTCCCCAGCTTGTGGCCCAGTCAGACTCTGATGTAGTGGGGCCACGTCCCCATGTCACAGCCCTGTCAGACTCCACTGTCGTAGTGCAAAGTCATTAGCTCGTGGCACAGACTCTGCCATCACGATGCAAACCTCCTGGCTTGCACCACAGTCAGATTCCAGATCGTCCCCAGATCACGGCCTAGTCGTACTCTGCTGTTGTGTTCGAAAGTCCCCGATGTCCGGTGTAGTTATACTCTATTGTCGTGGCCAGTCAAGTTAACCTCCTTTGTTGCCACATTGCAAAGTAACTGGCTTGTGGCCTAAAATTATAAAAAACACATGGGCCATATCATTATTACACATAAGCACTTTCAAATACATCATGAATTTGGGCCATTTTATTAGTACATATAGGCACATACATAAAATAATCCATATTTATAAAACACATATAGCCCCCATTATTATTATTATTATTATTATTATTATTATTATTATTATTATACATATAATCCCATATCTTCATATCATAAACACAAACCTGTGTATGTAACATCTGCGTTTTTAACAACTGTGTAAATGTGAAACAAATGCCCTTCTCACAACAGCCATATTGCCCATCTGCAGGTCACCGTGACCACAGGGTCTAAGGTGCTGGACTGTTGGTCTCCAGAACAATCTGTTCCCTCATGCACACATACATATGCATATACCTCTCTCACTGTAAGCCATATGGCCAGAGATCCAGCGAGAGACAGCCAAGTGCAGAGCATTATTATTGATGGCCCGAAAGCTCAGACAAAGAAAGAAAGAAAGGGATAGATAGATGGAGAGAACGAATAAGACGCATTGAGCAGGACCACCGTTGAGGGTCTGGAGAGGTGATGAAGTACACGGCCCACGTTGCCCCGAGGCATATTGCTGGTACACATGCACCCAGAATAGTTGTAAGAAGCAGCTCTCTGTGTCTGCTGGCAGCGGCGTCTGTGTGTGTTTGTCTTTGTCTTTCTCTGGCTGTGTGTGAAATGTCAGAGGGAGAGGAGTTGTGTTTGGGTGAAGCTGACTCATCTCCAGCTCTTTACCCCCTCGTACGCCCGCAGAGAGAGAGAAAGAGAGAGAGATGATTTCCCAACCAAATTGCCCAAATCCCTCCGCATAAAAAATGCTTCCACTGGAGGAATAGGAGGTTTCTTCAAAACATTAGCTATGGTTTAGATGTTAGATGTTATTCTGTGGGAAGCGTGTGGGGAGATCAACCAATGATCTAAGAGGTACTAATTTCAATTCTCTACAATAATGATGGACTATGTTGATGGTTACAATGATTTTTATTATTCCTATCATTATTGCTGTTATCACTGTTGCTGCTGTTGTTTTTAATGATACCTTTAGTATTTTTTTCTTTACTTATTTATTATCATCATACTATCATTATAAATATGCAATTATTATTATTATTATTTTTCTTGTTGTTATTACTTGAACCCTAGGCCTATTCCTTTTTGTTCTGTTTTTTTGTTATTACAATAAGCTATTAGGATGTTTTGTTCAGTACAGCAATGAATCATTCAGTGATTATTATAAATTATTTACACCCTACTAGAAATTACTCATTATTTACCATGAGTTGTTCGGTAACTACTACCAATAATTCATTAACTACTATGAATTATTCAGTAATTAATATGAATTATTCAGTATTTACTGTGATGAAATAGAAACTATAAATAATTCAGTAACTGCAAAATTATTCAGTTAACACTGTAAATGATTCAGTAAATGCTATAAATGTTTCACTAACTACTAACTATGAATGATTCAGTAACTACTATGAACAATTCATTAATTACTATAAACAATTCAGTAACTACCATAAGCAATTCACTAATTACTATTAATGATTTAGTAACTACCATAAATATTTTATTAATTACTATAAAAGATTTGGGAACAACCATAAGCGATTCATTAAGTACTAAAAATGATTCAGTAACTGCCATGAACAATTAATTCATTGCTATAAATGATTCAGTGACTACTCTTAATTATTAAGTAACTACTATGAATGATTTAGCAACTATTATAAATGATTCCGTAAGAACTAAAATGCATCAGTAACAACTATAATTGTTTCGGTAATTACTATAAATGAGCCAATAACTACTATTTTTGGTTCAATAAATGATTCAGCAACTGTCATAAATGAGCCAATAACTACTATAAATGATTCAGTAAATACTAAAAGATGATTCAGTACATAAAATAAATAAATCAGTAACTACTCTAAATGATTCCATTCCAACCACTATATACTGCTATGAAAGTTTAGTGAGAAACTTAAGCATGGATCCATATACAGACCCCCACAGGGGTTAATAATAAAATTGTATCGTTTATGTATTTATTTATTTTTGAAATTTGAGCTATGAAACATTATGTTGAACTTTGAATTCTCTCTGAAGGCTGAGATGGATGCACATATCTGGAATGAAGCTGAGGAAACTTCTAGACATGCACCTGCCAAGACCTTAAAGAGAAAAGAGTCGGGGGTGCGGGGGGTGGGGGGACACCGTAAACGCACTCGTCCCATAAATGCTGGGCACACGTACGGTCTGCCGCTGAGTGACTTGGGATGCATGCAGTGCGTGTACACACAATAAGGTATAGTGCACTTTTAATACTCTCTCAAAACAAGAGCAAATGGATTGGCAGTGATAAATCTGGCTCTTTATAACGGAATATAAAAGCAACCTTTTAATATCTGTCTCAAGAGCAGCAGAGCGCATGCAAGAGTAAAAGGTAGACGATCGATATCAAGACGAGAGCAAAAAAAATTTGTCTCATTTTTTATTTCAAACTTTTCCCATCTACGCCACATTCGTCAGATGTTACTTTTTATGTGAAAAATATGTTTTGATGTAATTCACGAAATTTCACATTGACAGAACATTTGAGCAGCCCTGAGGAGGAGGAGGCTGAGGTGGAGTTCTGCTTTCAGAGATTTGCAGTCGCTGACAGTTCATTCTTATTTTCCATGTGCATATGTTACATGTGGGGCATATAGTGTGCAAAGTAACAGTCAAATACAGTATATGTGTTTCACAGCACAACAAAATCTGGCCTGCCTCCATAGACAGGTGGACAGACACACACAGATCCCTGCCATTTCTCTCTAAATTGGTGTTTTCCTCCCCAAATGTTCTGACAGCCTGAAGGTAAAGCGGACTGACAGGTCCGAGGTTGCCATGGCAACAGGCGCTTGGATACGGCGAGCGTGTCTTTAAGACCACCGCTCAAGTTTTTTTCTTCTTTCATATTTAATTTCGTAGTTTTCTCAGTGTTAAAAACGTAAAACTTAAAAAGTGTTAAGACATAAAGCAACGTCTTAGGGGACATCAGAGCTCTGAGTTTATATTCCAGGTCAATATTACAGTCATTTCAACTAAAGTCTTGGCTGATGACTATTGATGTGGGTGAGCTGGGTGTGTAAAAGTGAGTTTGAAATAAGTTCTTTCTCTGCAGGTAAGGTTTGGAGGTAAATGTGCTTGCAGTGGAGTTGCAGTGTGTGCATGTGCACTTTGAGGCCAGAGTGAAGTGTATCGACGTGTAGAACGTATCAGCATACACTTTCTCTGTGCTGCCATGTCTCCTATCACTGCATAAAAGGAGCACGGATGTTGGATGTACTTTGATTTCACACAGTGCGCATTTCAGATCAGTAAGTGCTTATTGTTAACTGGGTTTAAAAAAACATGACTGATGTGTGCTTATTTTCCTGTTCATGTGTTTATTTGTTCAAAAATGTAGTTTGTGACACAAACTAAACACAAATCTATAGTTTTTGGCTTTTTTATATCAAATAAATGCAACCGCAGCAATGAGAAATGCCATGGTTAACCCTCGGAGGTCTAAGGACATTTTCTTGATGTTTGCATATCTACTTAAATTTGCCTTTAAAGGTCTTTGCATATAACATGATACCCATATTTTTCTCTGTTTTTATCTTCATTGCTACTTTCCAAAATGGCTGCAGCAACTTCAGTGGCTGTAAACTTTTTCCATGCCGTTTCACACGTCTTCGATGTTGACGCCTAACTCAACACAGAATTTCTGGCCTCCAAATAGGAAAAATCAAGGAAAACGTTCCCTCAGCTGGCACTTCCCACTTGGAAAGTACATAGTTTACTCTCGTCCTGTAGCCTACTCAAGCTCGAGCTCCCTAGGCTACAATACACTGCGGTAAGATGTGTTCAAAAAGTAGTCAGCTGTAATTATTTGCTAATCTGATATGTATATATTACAAGTATATTTAACCATTTGTATACAGTTGTTTAATCCACTAATTTTCATTACATCAATATAATCTCAAAAAATGTGGGAAAACCACATTTAAGATAAAATAAAATAAGATAATTGAAATATCTTCATATATCTTAAACTCTATGGCTGGAATATACCTACAAGCTAACCCAGCCATTAGTTGACGCTAAGCCGCAGTTCTTATTTGCTGCCTCTTCAATAAATGAGCATTTGCATTTAAAGTGCAATGTTTTGTGCGTTATCTTCTTCATTGACGACACATGGGTGTCAGAAGTGGGACAGCACCCTCCTTGGAGAGGAATGGTGCTTTGACAGGTTCAGTGATGGAGAGCAGAGAAGACTGAGGCCAAAGACACTGGAAGCAGAAGCAGCACAGTAAGAACCGGTGATGAAGACAGCAGAGAAAGGCGAGGCACGACAGAGAACCTGCCAGCGGAGCAGCGTTGGCCATGGCCTTTAAAGCTCAATGTTTCCAGCTTCTTCTTTGCTGATGGCACAATATTATGTATCATGAAAATGACTAAACAGTTTATTATTAATCACAATATTGGTAGACTGTCTACAAAATAAATAAAGAGGTGCTAGCACTTAAAATTCATTAGTGGATGCTTTTATACTCATGTAGTCTCCCTGGAGTTTCTTGTGTGACTAACGCTACAGTAGTATTAGCTGAAGGGAGAGGTTCTAGCGACTGTGTCATGAATCAGCCTTAAATCCACCCTGAAAAAAGAGAAATGGTCCCTCAACATTAATGTTTACAGGTATTACTGACATTTATAGTAAGTGGTTCCATTTACAAATGAACTGAACTTATTCATCGGTGATAATAGGTAGCTTTTCTGCTGTGTGAAACACTTATCTGACAAATTATCATCCTCTTCCCTTACAAACACACACTCACTCACACACAGTGTGTATATTTGCTGTTTTAGTTGTAATATGAATGAAGAGAGATGTAAAGAGAAAACACTGAAAAGAGTGGAGAAAAGAGAGGAGAACTACAGGGAGAGGAAGAAAGGAGGAGTGAAGAGAAATGAGGAAGAAGAAGAGAGGAGAGATGAGGAGTGAAGAGAAGATACAAGGACAGAAGAAAACAGGAGTGAAGAGGAGAGTAAAGAAGAGGAGAAATTAGGAGAGAAGAACAGAGAAGATAAAAAGAGGAGAGATGAAGGGGAATGAAAAGAGTGAAAAAAGAGGAGAAGAGATGAGAAAAGAAAGGAGGAGAGAAGAGAGGAGAAGATACAAGGAGGAAAGAAAAGGGGAGTAAAGAGGAGAAATGAGGAGAGAAGAGAAGAAGAAAAGATGAGAGACGGGGAGAAAAGAAAAGAGGAGTGAAGAATGAAGAGTTGAGAAGAGGAGAGAGGAGAAGAGACGAGACGAGGAGAGAAGAAAAGATTCAAGAGAGAAGAAGAAAAGATGAGAGATGACCTGAGAGAAGAGGCGAGGAGAAAAGAGGAGTGAAGAGAGAAGAGTTGAGGAGAGGAGGAGAAAGGAGACGAGGAGAGAAGAGGAGAAAGAAGAGACAAAGAGGAAAGAAAAGAGGAGTGAAGAGAGAAGAGGAAAGTTGGGAAGAGGAGAGAGGAGCAGAGAAGAAAAGGAGAGAAAGGATGGGAGAATACTTGAGAAGAGTGGAGGAGAGAAGAGAGGGGTGTGTGTTCTGTGAACAGTGGTGTAATGGCGTAATGAGGGGAATAATAGAGTGATAGAGAATCTCTGAAGGAGAGCAGGTGGAGGAGTGTGTGTATTCATTGCTCAGGGCAGTGTTTGTGTGTGTGTGTGTTCGCGCAGATGGTCAGACGTGTGCCACTCTGTGACCAGCTCTACCGTTGCCAGGAGACTGAGGTCACAAGGTCAGAGGTCAAGCCACCATACACATACGCGTGTCATCAAGGTGAGAAAACCCAGCTGCCCAACCTGACACACACACTGATACACGCTGGTGCACTCGGTCACACACACACACGCACACGCATGCACACGCACACAGATTGTAGCAGTGAATGATCCGTTATGAAATAGTGCCATCTGTTGTTAGAATAGAGTACTGCACCGCAGTTTCAGAAGAATTTAGCAGATATATTTTTCATTTTAGGTGCAAAAATCATTATATAGACATGCATATATACATATATATATATATATATATATATATATATATATATATATATATATATATAGAGAGAGAGAGAGAGAGAGAGTTAGAAAAATAATATTAACATCCTCTACAGAGAACACACTTCTGCACATTTTAATGCATTTTTTCCAATATGTTAAACACAGCAAATAAATAGAAATGATGACCCAAACTATTTCAGTTTTCAGTTTCTCTGTAGAAAATCTATGTACAGTGCTATGGAAAATTCTAAGGCATCTGAGAAAATGACAACTAAAAAGCTTTTTATTTGGGCAGTAAACATTTATTTGCTCATAAAAACACTAGTATTAAAAAAAAAAACAGCAAGAAACCAGTGCTATGGCTGGAGACGTCCAGGAGAAATCTGGAACCAAACTTTGTTCTTCAAACTAGCTGACAAGATGCCAGCTACTTTTTTCAGAAAAATAAATTCTTGTTAGGTGTTACTGTGTTCATGATTGTGCACCTATTCTAATGATATATGGTGTTGTATATGTATATGTATGTATGTATGTATATATATATATATATATATATATATATATATATATATATATATATATATGTGTGTGTGTATATATATATATATATATATATATATATATATATACACACACACACACACACACACACATATATATATATAGAGAGAGAGAAAGAGAGAGTTTTAATAATATAATAATAATAATAATAATAATAATAATATTAACATCCTCTACAGAGAAAACACTTCTGCACGTTTTAATGCATTTTTTTCCATTTTGTTGAACACAGCAAATCAATAGAAATTATGGCCCAAGGTATTTCAGTATTTCTGTAGAGAATCTATGTACAGTACTGTGAAAAACTCTGAGGCATCTGAGAAAATGACAAGAAGCTTTTTTATTTGGGCAGTAAACATTTATTCTAATGATATATGGTGTTGTTACAAGCTACACATATTGCCAAGAAAAACAGATTTAAAATCGTGTGCTTAGGTAGACAGAGTTCACAGTACAATATTCATAAAAGGCTTAGTTCCGACAGCGCAGTCTGATTGGTCCAGAAGCATTTTATCACAAAAAACAACGTGCTTTGTGTATAATGGCCAGGAAAAGTTAATATGGGAAAGCAAAGTATTTTATTGTCTTAATGGTCAGACTCTCTGACATACTAAAAATGGAACAACAATCACTCATTTGTATGGAGCCCCGCTGGTGACATGCCACATAAATAAAAATAATGTGTGGCCACGACTTAGTAAGGCGTGGGAATAAGATCATTAATCATCATAAGATCATGCCTTTCTAAGACGTGGCCACGCATTAGGATCCTGTTCAGAATATGCCGCTGTACCACCCTACCTGTTGCCTTGAGGAAAAAATAAGAAACCTTAACAGTACTGGAAAAATAACTATTTTTATACTAAAACGACATTTTGGTTTATATGTGCCTATGAATTTGGGGGGTGGATTATTAATGTGCGGCTTATAAATGACATTTACAATCAGCTAGGAGCTGTGGCGTCATCTGTCAGATTCAAAGCGCTTCTCACATTAGCCAATCAGCAGCGCAGAAAAATACTGTCAGCGCGCGGAGAAATTTCCTCTGGCCAATCAAGAGGTAGTTGCTAGGCAGAACGCACGCATTCCTTTAATACGATTGGCCACATATTTCTGGTATCCAAAGCCTGAGGGGCAGGCCAGGCTTAGCAAACACAGCTAACAGTTGAGGCGCCAATTTGAAACGCGTTTAAGAGGACTCCTCTCGAAGAAATTAAAAAAATCACCTGTCAGTTTTTGTATTAATAGGACAGAGAGCAGTTTTGGTGAGTATCCCAAAAAGAGTTATAATGTCTGCCTATCTGTAACTGACTTTTAGCATAGGTGTGCTTTCAGCTGTGTAAAGTGTTTTGCTGTTATTCTCGTTGCGTGTTTGTGAACATTTATGTCTGCCGTGTCATTTTGCTGGAGTTTCTTCGTCTTATTTTGGAGATTACTTACATAATTCTCAGAAAGCAATGCTGAAAATATGACTGGTCATCCTTTATCATATGTTTAACGAGAGGTCACTTCTTCATAACACTCTTCACAGGCGGTTTATGCGGTAAACTGTAGGTTAGCAATCTAAATTCCTAAACAAATGGGGGTGACATACACGTAAAAACAAATTCTCCCACAGTGCCTTCAAACTGGCTCTACGCCATTTTCGTAGTAACTCGCAATGTAGATGTTTATGTGAAATCAAGGCGGAAAATTATGTATTTCTCAGCCGCATTTCAAATGAACTCATTTATCATGGACGGGTAAAGTACCCGGGTGTGTCCTTGTTCCGCCCCGAAAACCGAGGATGAATCGGTTGCTGACTTGCCCAGAAAACTCGTAGAGAGCAGAATTACGACTGTGTAAAGGGTTTCTCAAACGCTAGAGGGCGCTCCCGAGCGAGTCCAAAATGAGTGGGTTAAGATGGAGCACTTGAGCAAAAAACGTTTTTAATATGAAAGAATACAGTAATTTTCTAAAACACCGCTGTTATATTTTTGAGTGCTTTAAAACTCAAGTTATAGCAGTTTAAAATGTACTCACTTGAAAAATGTATGTCCATGACGTCTGTGAGCGCGAACCGCCAATAGACCACTGTAGTCGTGTCGTCATTTTGTAGTCGGCGCCATGCTCTCATGCCCATATTAGGCACTCCGGGTCTAAGCTCCATTTCTCTATGGCCAGAATGAATAGGGTTTTCGAAAAATTGCCTCTATCGCCCCCTGTGTTAAATAAAATGTTCAGAACCTGATACGTTTTGTCCTGTGAACATTCTTCTCTCGAACAACACTGGATCCTCTGAATTACGAGGTCGGTAAAGAGTTGAAATATGAATATTGCTACATGTGAGCTAAAGCTACTGCGCACTGAATTCACGTCATTAGACTGGCAGCCTCCTTAAACAGGTTATCACCCCTGATAAACTGATTTCGGCTCTCAGAATATCCTAATTTTTATTTTAATGCGGTAACATTTTTCTGAGGACATTTTCTCAGGACATTCGCCAGCTTTTTGTTCAAGGTTTTCCGTTCCACCTTAAGTGGTGCAGCAATCACGCTTTGAACTGCTGCGCCATTTAAGGTGAAACGGGAAAATTTGAACAAGCAGCCGGCGAGAAAGAAGCTGACTTCAGCTTCATGGAGGGTTGAAAGGCATGATGTGAGGAGGTTTCTCTATTTTTGCTTAACATCTGAGTAACATTAACTTGTTTTTGCTGTTTTACAGAACCGACAGGTCAGTATTTTGTCTCGTTTGCTAATGTTTGTGATGGCTAGTCACAGCTGCTGCACCATTTAAGGTGGAACGGGAACATTCAAACAAGAAGCTGCGGAAAAAGAAGCTGAATTCAGCCTCGTAATTTTAACACGGGTAGTATTTTTAATAATGAGTTTTAATCTATCAAAATATCCTACCTAGAGGTTTTATTTACGGCTAATACCTGTAATTATGCGCTACTGTAGAAGATTTTGATAAGGTAGCACAGATCGTCAGAGCACCGTTACAGCCCGCCTTAGTATCGTGTAGCTTAGTGACATCAAATTGATGCGCAGTAGCTTCAGCTCGCATGTAGCAATATTAGTATTATAGCTCTTTACGACCTCGTAATTCAGAGGATCCAGTGGTATTCAGGAGAAAAATGTTCACAGGACAAAACGTATCGGGTTCTGAACATTTTTATTTAACCCAGGGGGCGATAGAGGCGATTTTTAGAAAACCCTATTCATTCTGGCCATGATGACGCTTAGACCCAGAGTTCCTAATATGGGCATAACGAGGACGACAGAATGACGCACGACTACAGTGGTCTGGTTGACCAACCAATCAGCACTCAGTAGCAGTAATGTTAGCGTCTGCTGCCCAAAACTCAGTTGCTGTAGAAAAAAGGAAACACACAGGTACTTTTTGTGCTTTTTTTTAGTGAAATACAAACTTCTAATTAGGCCCTTATAAACCGGCTCTGGTGCATTGGTTGGTGGCTTGCCGACGAGAACGAACGGAAAGATCTAGCATTTTTTGCAGCATCATCACGCCTGGCCAAGAATACTAACCCACAGCTGTACGTTTATGAGTTCTCTCTTTTTCTTTCTTTTTTTTTGAGTAACCGGTGCTGTTAAATATACATTAGGAAGAAATGAGGCAAGAAATACATGTTAAAATTGTCAAATCTTTGCTCATTTGGTACAAACAATACCTAATGAGAAAGTTTGCTCTGACATTTCATAAGACAAGGCTCTGTTAGATTAACAGGAACATTAATACCCAGCTGCAGTGGCCTTAACCAAGTTAGCAGTGGCCAAACTGTATTTTACCATCATAGTTGACAACACTTGCCTTCCTCCATCAAAGGGAAATCATTTCCTGACTCCGTTATGACTTATTTTTCGTGGCAGTATCCGAGCCAAATTGCTGATTAAATTGAATAATGGAGTTTTGTTGGCGTCTGAGACACACACATTGAGGATAGACACTTGGAGGTTGACTTAGGAGAAATGCTAAACAGAAGTTACATAAAAAACTACACTAATATATTTTAAGAGTTATTTTCTGCACATTGTAATTGTATGTCTAATTGTAATTGTATGTAATTGTCTATGTAATATTTGAAAGACCTTAAAATTAAGAATAAGTACTGGGCTGTGTTTATGCATTAGTTTGTATCTATCATAGCAAAGATCCACAGCCAAAGACGAGTGGCACTATAGAGGGTAGTCTCTCATCTTTCTCCTCAGCATGGCT